AGGAAGAATCCTTGCTAATATTCCAATTCTCTCTCTGTATTATTAAAAAATCAAAGGGAAAGATTATTTTAGTAAGTGCTATGAATAAATGTGTGGGAACAGAATACGGAAAAAATGATTTAGTTATTTAGAGATCCAATAATGAATGTAATGAAAGTTTGATGAGTTTAAACATAATAAATCATATGCATAAATGTGCACCTATATTGAAAGTGTCAGGGTTCCAAATAGAATCCAAAAGTAAATCAGAGTCTGAGGCAAAGGATTCCTCAAAGTTCCAATTTATTAAGAGAGCCATGTTGGCACATCTGGGAAAACCTGAATCTGAAAGCTTCCAGGTTTTCCCACCCAGTTGAAAGTCCACCACAGCACCTACAAGTCCATCACATGGTCCAATCTTCCACTGCCACGCTGGCAGCTTCCACCTGTCCAGTTCCGGCCAGGTGCAGAGAGGATGACCTTGGCTTTCTAGAAAGAATTTTGTTATGGCTACATATCACCCAACTTCATATAATCCCCCCTCCCATTTCCCCACAATATAAAAATGCATAGTAGAATGATAGAAAGTGTGGCAGGCCTGAGGTCCAAAAGAAAAGATGGCTTGCAGGCCTGACAGAAAGATTGTATAAGCATCCAAAAGTATTATTAATTTGACCTTTGATGATACAAGACTCTGCAAATTAGTGAAGGACTGAAGGAAGACTAAAAGTTCTAAATCTAAGATGGATCTTTTTTGTCTACATTCATGAAAGAAAATCAAATGACTATAGGAATAAAAAGTACACATCCTATATGAAAACTTATATTCATCTCTCAATAGAATAAAAATTGAATGAAGAGACGAGCAGTGATTGTCACAGACATAAAATCTGTTTTAAAAATGGCTACATAGGACTAAACAAGGAGTCTCCAATGGAATCAGTTGAATTAAAAATAAAAGCAGAGAAATTATTTGGTATAAAACTGAAATGAAATTATTGTTTGAAGGAATATTTTATCAGTATGATAGCAATATTGATATGCTAAAGAATAAATTTGAAACAAATATGATAAATGTTACACATTTAATGAAGAACTCCCTTGCAGTAAGAAGAGCAGAATATAAATTTAACAAATAAATAAAATACATAAATAAAGATGATATAAAAGATATATCGTATAAGATGCACCTTCCTCCCCTAAAAGTGGATGAAAATTTAGTTGACTCTTTTGGCCTCCTGAATCCTCCATGTCGCATTTTTGCCATCCCTGGCCCCCAGAAGCACTCTGCAGGGCTCAGCACGTCCCATTTTTGGGATCCCAAGCCCTCAGCATGTCGTGCTTTTGCCCTCCCAAGCCCCCAGAAGCACTCTGCAGTGCTCCACATGCAGAGTGCTTCTGGGGGTCGGGGAGGCTGAAAATGTGCACAATGTGCAGAGGGCTTGGGAGCCCAAACATGCTGAAACTAGGGATCAGAGTGAGGAGACTGCCCCAAGGCATGAGTTTCGAGCAGGTCGATGGATCACTGATAGGTGGGTCCCCCGCAATGCATCTCACTAAAACAGAGCAGCTAGAGATGGGCCAACATTGGGAGATCATCCAATTTCTAATCATCCTGAAGATGACAGAGGACTGGGACTGTCCTGGCTAGACAAGTGGGGCCCAATGATCTGGTGGGAAGTGGGAGAGAGAAAAATGAGGCTAGGAAGCGGCCCTGTCCCTCCTCAAGGCAGCCAGAAGGGAAGAGCTGTCCAGCACCAGGAGGAAACTGAATGAAACGAGCCCCTTAAAGCTGCTTCAGAGGAAACACCAGTAGCCCAGTTAATCCCCAAAGAAAACCAAGACATAGTGGGAGTGTTCAGTAAGAAAGAATGTGATGTGCTGACTCACCCCCTCACCCAGAGGTGGTATTCAGCTGGTTTGGACTGTTTTGGGTGAACCATTAGTGGAAATTTTGATTAGTTCAGAGAACCAGCAAATGCCACTTCTGGCTGGCCTCTCCCTGGCCACCTGCTTGCTGCTCATCCTACCCACCCACCCACTCGCTCCATCCACCGCTCGCCCCACCTGTCTGCTCGCCCTACTTGCCCTGCCCAGTCACTCCTCATTGTGCCTCCCCAGCATAGCACACTGTGTGGCTCCTCGCTTACATTGACCACACAGTCTCTGCTGCTTGCCTGCCTTCCCATGCGATACCTGTGGCCCAACTGAGCAGCCCTGATCACCTGCTTGGGTAAGTAAGCCTGCGAGTCACAGCCTAGCTAGCTGCCCCCCACCATCCATGCCTGCCTTCCCTATTCCCTTCCACATTGCCAGCGGCCCAGCCAGGTTCCCCTGCCTTCCCCGTAGCCTTCCTGGCACTCCCAATGGCCAGGCCTTCTTACCTCCCTTCCTACTCCCTTCCACATGGTACATAGCCCCATCATGCTTCATTGCCTCCAGGGCCTCTGCCACTAGCTTCCCTTTCACCTCAGGTTAGAGGATGCACACGTTCCTGCCCCATTTCCCCTCCTTCAGAGGCCCCTGACTCACTCTCTCTGCTTCTTCCCCATGACTGACTCCTCTTCGTTCTACAATCTTATCTTCCTCCCATTACTGGTGGCAGAGAGGAAGGTGAACCAGGGCTGAGCTATCACCACTCGGGTCCCCACCAGCCTACATCCCGCTCCCTGCCTGGATTCTGGGCAGGACTGGATGCAGGACCTGAGGTCGAGCAGGCAGCAGACCAGAGCAAGGTCTGAAAGACAGCCTCACCAGAGTGGATCTTCCTTCCCCGCCATCAGCCTTACCTTCCAGCCAATGGGTCTCACACCATTCTCACAGTGGTGATGCACACTTGGCCAAAGTATTCAGCCCAGTGCGGGAGGGGTAGCTGGCAGAGGGGCAATGCAGGCGACATAGTCTCGTGCTCCCTGGTTGACCCCTGTGTCCCCCGGCAGGTGAGCCCCAGCAGCTGTGGAGAATCTGGGCAGGGGACACGATGCTGGCTGGTGGTGAGCCCAGCGGTGATGGCTCAGCCCTGGCTGGCTTGCCTTCCCCTCTGCCACCAGCAATGGGAGGAAGGTAAGGTCGCAACCAGTTGGAAAAGCTGAACTGCTGCATAGTCCAGATCTGCTGGAGGGGTGGGCGAGGCTGCAGTGCATGGTTTGCTTGAAGTTCCCAGCCCTTTGTTTAAAAATCTCCCCAAAAGAGGAAGGGGAGGAAGTCCCCGCCCACTGGGGGTTACCATTCAGGGTGGGGAAGCTGCAGGGCCATGATTGGGAGCCGTACTGATCAGCTGGGAGGCTGCTCTCCCCCTCTGCAGTCCATTTTTAGCCTGGAGAGCTTCCTGCAAACTCCTGAAGCAACCACCATTCCCTCATTAACCTGCTTTCCAGGGCTGGCATGCAGCGCAACAAAAGAAGACCAGGTGGCCACCGTTTTAAAATAAAATCCTTCAGTCAGGTGTGCCTTCATTCAAAACCCAAGAAAGGAAATCCCCAACTCCATATTTGTAGAGAAGAGTTTTACTGAGTTTGAAATGATAGCAACAAAAGAAAAGCAAATGTCAGTGTTCCTGAAAACCTCAACTCAAATAACCGGGTGTTAATATGGCTTTCAAAGCTGACAGCAAGATCTGAAGCAAAAGGCGCAAAAGTTACATATTGAAAGTATCCCCAAATTGCTCTCCCCAAGGACCTAGGCTGAATGTCCAATCCCAACCTATATGGTGTCATGTGGGGCGCATCTTCAGATGTTTTCACCCACCTGGTATGTTGGGACGGTTGACTTTGACTGGGTATAAACAAGTCCATTCAGCTATGCAGTAGATGATGAGAGCAATCCTCCCTTTTCATTTACATAGGCAGGCCATCTCCTCAAGCACACTTCCCCACCCAAATGCCAATCTTCACCCCTCCCCATTACTATGGCAGCTGAAAGCAAGCACACATCAAAGATGTTAACTTGGTTTAATCTTTGTACAATCAAATGCTTTATTTTAAATGTGAATTTAAATTAGACTCTGTAGGCCTTTCTTTTAGGGTTGTATATTTATCATCTGCTTCTCACAGGTGAAATGATCCAAACAACCATTCTCTTGACTATGGAAGAGTCAAAATCCATAGAAGGTACCCGATGAACTGGTTGAACTTAATTAATGATATGAATACAGATGGAATTGTGTATTTCTTCAATCTCCACTTAATCTTACTCAACTCAACAGTTTTTCTTCCAGGGAGCATTTTAAGAGATTAAATTATCATCATGTCCTATTTATCTAAAAGTCAACCTTACTGAAATTAATTGGGGCTTCTTTGTAGAACATGTACACTGCGATTTCTGGTAAATCAACTCAGAATGCACAATATGTGAAATAATACTCTTGATATTGCTTATCCTGATGGAATATGCAACCCTTACTTCAAATACATCTGTATATTATCTACATCTGCACAGGATTTTTTTTGCCATTGGTAGTATTATTGCAAAAAAACAAGAATGCAAGTGATGTAAATATGTATTATACGCTTGTAACAACTAGTGTTATGGAGTTCTCTCAGTCTGGCAATCTCCAAGTACATTTACTTGCCAAAATCACTCATAGACTCATAGCTATGCATTCTGGCTCTGAAGAGTAACGGAGTAACATAGACTGACATAGCTGAAGGGCAATAGGCTGGCACAGAGACATCATATTTCAATATTGATACAATATAAGAAGAGTTTTGCTTATGGGGAGAAACCTACAGTGATCTACACTGATGTGCTCTCAAAGAATGAAGAAAGCTCCTTAATGTCTGGCTGAAATTCTAGTTATATGAACTCTCAAGCTATGAATCTACAACAGTATGATATATCTTCAGAAACCTCAAAGAAGTGGGTTATATTTAGTGAAAAATGAATTTTCTACAGACACAAATATAACAGCATCTACATTTGCAAGTTGTAAAAAAATGTGTGCCCTCCTGAATGTACTAAATTTGTACTAAATCCCATAGGGTGCAGACATAATTGAAGGCATATAATACATTTTTGTTCATATGCATACAGTGAATGGAAAGAAGACCACTTTAGAAATCTAGGCAAATTTCTTAAAGAAAACACAATTTTACTAAATTGGAATAAATCCTATTTAATTACATTTTAGAAGAAGTTAAACCTGGCATTAATTTGCCAATCGTAGTACACATAAAATTTCAAAACATAATTATGAAGCAATATATTTTCAAAATTAGCATGATGATATATATAATTTATTATTCATTTATTAATGTAATACTGCATGATAAATATCCCTTGTAGAGAAAGTCAGATAAATTGACTTACCAAATTCAAATCAAATTTACAATGAATTCCAAGAAAAATCAAATCCTGCTGCTGAACCTTATTTGGCAATGAAATAATCATAGTAAACCTAAACATTTACTGATTATTTTTCAGATTTTGAAATATTAATTAAAAATACATAATAGGTTTTGAACCCTTAATTGAAATACTGAATAATTACCTTCCTTCCTTCCTTCTTTCCTTCCTTCCTTCCTTCCTTCTTTTCCTTCCTTTCTTTCTCTCTCTCTCTCTTTTCTAAATGGCGCCTATCTTTCAGATATTCCCTATTTAAAACCTTCCACAGTTGCACTGTGATTTAAAGGGAGATGGGAGTATATTAGATAAGCCAATCAACAAAGAAGTTAACTCAACACCTCCCTTTGTCAGATTTGCGTCACTTTAAAAAAATGGAATAGAAAAAGTTTTAGTGCATGTTCAGGGCAAACATCACTGTCACCAGAGCTATTTACTTTTCAAAGTTGGCTATAGTACAAAATGCACATCTGTAGAAAGCCTGATGTAGACTTTTATCAATTTACCTGGACACTACTGACAACCCATTTTGTTAAATATTAGTTTAAAAGAAAATAAATTTTCTACTATAAAATTTTTATGATTTTAAGGAAGCATTCGTTTAATTTTGATCTTTTAATTTTCAGCTATAAAGATAGTGCCTCTGTCTGCAAATACCTCCAAAGAACTTTTCATATAATTCAGAATGTATTAAGAAATATTGTTAAAATGTAGATTCTAATAAAATATATCTGAAAAGAGATTAGAATGAGAAAGTTAGATCATAATAAAAAGTAAGTGCATTTCTGTCCGCAAAGGCAATGAACATGGGCATTAGTATTAGTGAGATGTGAGTGAGAATGATTACTGTCTTCTTTTCTATTATGTATAAATCTGCTTGTGCAGAACTCCAAAAAGATGGTGGTGGTGGTGACTGGGGAACCGGTTCAGGAACGTGGCCAGCTTGGGTCGCTGCCAGTTCTGTGACCCAGGCCGGCATACCACTACTGGTTCAGCCAAACTGGGCCAAACTGGTAGGTACCCACCTCTGATTCACTCCCCCTGAGTCACATGACCCAGGCTCTCTAGGTTTCTTTTCTATGGGAAGCGTGTGTGTGTGTGTGTGTGTGTGTGTGTGTGTACGTGTTGCATTTGTGCTGATAATAAATAAAGGGAGACTAGTATAGATCTATTTCAAGCTATTTAACTCTCATCAGCTAGCCATACCCTTACTGGGATTCAAACCTGGGCTGTTTTTACATATTAGGCAGTTATAAGGCATATACATACATACATACATACATACATACATACATA